GTCTAGTGCAGTCTAGTGCAGTCTAGTGCAGTCTAGTGCAGTCTAGTGCAGTCTAGTGCAGTCTAGTGCAGTCTAGTGCAGTCTAGTGCAGTCTAGTACGGTCTAGTACGGTCTAGTGCAGTCTAGTACAGTGTAGTGTAGTCTAGAGCAGAGTAATGCAGTCTAGTGTAGTGTAGTGCAGTGTAGTGCATTCTATTATTGTATATAAACCATACAAACTTTTTAGTGATTCCTGTATTTAGATAAACCGAAGCAGGTGCAACACAGCCATATGGTTTTTGTTATTTTTCCGGGCGGTGAACTGGTAACGAGTCTAGTCCCCAAAAAAAGTCGACCAAGTTAAAAAAAAGTCGACCAAGCTAAAACAGTCGACCAACTTAAAAAAGTCGACTAACTCAAAAAGAAGTCGACCAAGTTGAAAAAAAGTCGACCAAGTAAAAGAAGTCGATTAAGTTAAAAAAGTCGACCACTGAAAAAAAAATTTCACCAAGTTTTAAAAAAGTCGCCAACGTAAAAAAAAAGTCGCACACAGCTAAAGAAAAGTCGATGACCCTAAATGGGGTCCGTAATTTTTCTTTGTGCTGTGATTTTTTTGTGTGTTCGGTCCTTCTGGGCCACTGTACCCAAGACCAACCATATTGCGCGTGAAAAAAATCAGCAAATTAAAATTCTAGAAAGCATCACGGTCACTGCACGTCACGCTTACGACACTGAGCTTTTCACAGTCACTGTTTCTCATGAAGACTTTTATGCATTTATTATTTTCGTTTACGGCTAAAGGATCTATCTATGACTAAACGTTTTCTCCGTTCAAAATGACAGTACATAAAAGAGAGATATTTTTTTCCATCACTTTCCTAGTGATGTTAACGCTTGTTTTGCTTTGTTATTACGATACTTTTTCGTGGAAAGTTCGATCGCGAGTTGTTGGAACTTCAAAGATCATCAAATCTTTAGCACCAACAATGGAAGAAGGCGAAAAGTTGTTGTCTTTTCAAAACCGAGAAAATGGTTCTAAAGAATCCCCCGATATGAAAATCATCTTGTTTTACACTTCATTCGGTTCCGTACCACTGCCATGGCCACATACCATTGGAAGAGAAAAAAACCTCACCGACTTCAGGAACAGACCTTGCAAAGTTTCTTCTTGTAAGTTTTCTATTTCTAAGGATGATATCTCTAAAAGCCATGTCGTTATTTTTCACGGCTATTCGACGCCCTCTCCTGAGGAAATGAAAGCTCTTGTCCTGAAGAAACCCAAGGATCAGATGTGGGCTTGGTTTAATGAAGAAAGCGCTGCTCATACGGCAAACTATCACTTTGAAAAGATAAATAATATGTTCGAATTAACGATTACTCATATGCAAGAATCCGAMATTCATACTCTTTATGGCGAGTACTTTAAGCTAGAGGATAAAGCCAGGGCCGTAGCTGAAAAAAAGTATGCGAATGAAAACTTTGCTGAAGGAAAAGATCGACTAGTTCTTTGGTTTGCTAGCAATTGCGTATCTCTTCGACTGAACATCGTAAAAGCGATCGCCAAGCATATTAAAGTTGATGTATTTGGTCGTTGCCAAAAATACTTCTCTAAACAATCAGGCAGCTGTCTCCGAAGGAGTCGAGAATGCCAGAAAATAAACGAGAAGTACAAGTTTTTTTTATCGCTTGAAAATAGTAATTGTCGAGGATATTTAACAGAAAAATATTGGRAAAACGCTTTGGATAGAAATGTTGTTCCAATCGTTGTTGCTGGAAGTTATAACAAAGATGTTTTAATCCCTGGTTCGTACATCGAYATACTGGATTTTCCAAACGCCCTAGCATTGACAAACTATCTAAAGTACCTGGACAAAAATGAGACTGCGTATAACCAATACTTTGAGTGGAAAAAGAAATACAGATACACGAGAGAGACGAACTGGATATGTGATTTGTGTGAGTATTTGCATAGAAACGAAACAAAAAAATCCTTTTGGGATATGAAGAAGTTTTACGGTGCAGAGGAGAATTGCTTTGCTGATGATTATCGTATTCAAAACGAATGGCTAGAATCAAACGACCTGCTTCGAAATGTAATATTTTTCTTTATTACACTTATGATGGTATTAATGCTTATAATGGTTTACTATTACGACCCTTTTTCGTGGAGAACTCTTGCTTTTCGCGTACTACAAATCTTCATTTTGTAGAACGAGCAGCCGAGCGAGGGTGATGCGAGGTTGCGAGGCGGCAGCATCCTATTAGAGCCGATGCAGGAGATCGATCTAGACAAAGGACCTTTGATCTAGACCAATCGGAGCGCCAAAAATTTCGACGTCATCATCTGCATGTGCTTAGCTTAGTACGTGCTTCGTATCACGTAGCTGCTGTGCGATTCTAAGCGTAGACTTGCCCCAAGTCGACCTCTCTTGTTTTCCCGGAGTTTGGAGATTTGCTTGTTGACTGTTTTCTTTTTACTGTGCTGCACATTTGCAGCTACAATGTTCAATACAACAGCCTAAACYAAAACAAAAAGTACATTACTGTACAAGCACTACATCATTTCTGTACTATACTGTACTGTGCTGTATAATTTCATTTAAAGAAATCTGCGAGTTTTTTTCTGAACAGAGTTCAAAATACTGGGATTGAACCAAATCAATTGAACATCGCTTAAAATCCTGCTAAAATCCAGCGTTGTCTATTTCATTATGGTGTAATAGCAAACTATAGTGCAATGATCAGTGATCACGTCTGACAATATAATCCGTATTCAGCTCATTATATCAATAAACAAATACAGTAAAGACGTCTTCAAATTTCAAGTGTCCTTAATGCGGGGTTGTTTATGTATGGAACTGTCATTCAGGTCCTAGAAATGTGTCCTTTGTACTAATTAACGGCTGTCCTTATAAAGCGGGTTAATTTAACAGAAAATGTATGGAGCTTTCGTTGGGACTTTGAAACGTGTCCTTAATAACGAGGTGTCCTTATTAAGCGGGTGTCCTTAGAGCGGGGTTCCACCGTACTCACATCAGCGACTGCCAAATACAAAGTGACAAGCAAGCTTGCTAAAAGTCGAATAGCATCCCCTAAAGCAATCACATATTTGAATGAAAGAATTTATTTCAGGATGGCCRAGTACGTTTTCATTCTCGACCAGATATAAAATGTAATATTTATTATTAGTTATACTGTTCGTACACATTAGTATTTAGTTCAGGGCGGATCAAGAAATATTAATGAGATGCCCAGTCTTATAAGTCTCGTTCCCTTTTCATTTTGTTTCGCCTATTCCCTTCGGAAGTCTGTCGGAACCCGAAAATTGAATTCGACGACTCGCCAACGGAAAAAAATAACGAGTGAGACTTGGAGCAAGTCTATAGCAAGGACGACTATGAAATTCTTGTGATATTTTTTGTTGCCTGTGATCACGATTGTGATTGGTCGATTAGGTCACGTGCCACTTGATCACCCTCCTCTGGGTAGCAGTGGTGGAGACTTGTGTTGTCAATCATCTGTCATCGCGAGATGGAGATGGGACGGAGATAGGACGGAGCAGGCAATACTTGAAATAATAGACACTCTTAAATCAGAAACTGATAATAAGAAAATTACATGTGGTATATTTTTGGACTTTAAAAAGGCATTTGATACTGTAGATCACAAAATCTTGTTAACCAAACTAGACTCATATGGTGTTCGTGGCCTTGCATTAAAATGGTTTGCTAATTACCTTGATAATCGTACCCAATATGTGAAGCTTGACGATATATTATCAGATTTTAAAACAATCAAATGTGGAGTCCCCCAAGGGTCTACATTAGGGCCTCTACTCTTCCTTATTTATTTAAATGACTT